TAGCTCATTTAAAACGAATGAACAACATCGTTAGGAGTGTCGACAATTATTCCTTAATGTGGAATTTTGTTGTTAAAAAATAAATTAAAGGTTGGGTTTGTCCAAATTTTGCAATTTACGTTTATGTTCTTGCAGTTAAGTGTGAATTTATCTTAAGGATTTTCTAAACAGGTTGTGAATCATGAACCATGGATCTCTGACGGCACCTGCATGCGTTTCCTTCTGCTTCTGTGGCTGAACCTCCATTTCCTCGTCCTCCTCGTAGCTGCGCTTCTGTCTGCTGGGAACGTACGACGTGGAGGGAACCACCCTGCCCTGGTTACTCGTCGTCTCCACGTAGCCGTGCAGCAGCATTAAGGAAAAACTTCAGAGGCATGGGATTTAAAACGCCGAAACTAAGAGAAAGATTTGTACGCTTTTTCCACAGTAAAATTCAAAACACTTTGGATAAATATTAATATATAATTTTTTTTTATGCCCGCTTAAAGATTGTTAATCAATAAAATCAATAACATCAATCTACATTAGATTAACTCATTAATTAATAACTTAAATCTTTATTTTAGATTGCAGTTTATTACAAAACTATGCAGCTTGAAAACACCAAACTGATGTTAAAGTAAGCTGTACAGAAAAAGGTTAATTTGTCCCATTTGTCGTCAGGATATGTCCTTGGCCCACTGATTCTCTCCAGGGATGGGAACGCAGTAGAACGTCTGTCTCTCTGCAGTCACTGTGCTTCTGGAGTTTACGTCCACCTGCAGAGAAAAGCAGCTGCAACGAGGCGTTCAGGAACCGACTCAGAGCCTGAAGAGACGAGGCCTTACCCCAGACTCTGTCACGTCTTTGTATTTGCCGCACCGCAGCGTCTGGGGAGCGTCAGGCGGTAAAATGAGAGGAGAACAGCCAAAACGTGATAAAATGCAAATGAAGCTGCAGGCTATGTAAATGTCTGCAGGGGAGGGAACAAGGAAGCGCTCACTCTGGCCTTGGTGGCCGGGTCGACGGTCTCGTAGACTCCCATGAAGAACTCCGGGTCGAACATGTCCTGGACCAAGCAGCGGAACCTCACCAGGCTGTCTGGCTTCAGGTAGTGCAGAGGGACGTCGTTCAGAGACGGGACCTGAATCCAGAGACAGGTGAGAAAATGGTCGGAGACTCGCACGCTTCCCAGCCAATCCAAACTCAGAAATTCATCATGATAGTTTGTGGTACAATGGACACGCTGCAAGTTATTGACTGAGGGCAGAAAGACGATTCCTTTACCTGCTGTGGGAGAAAAATCCTGTTGATAAAATTAAGCCTGGAGAAGCAGGTATTAATTTAGCGCAGCACACCGCAGCAAAAGGAGAAAAAACTCAGGAACCATTGAAGAGCAACTCCAAACCGCTCGTTTTCTTACTTTTTTCTCGCTCTCTGTGTCGGCTATGCTACACACAGACACGTTGCCATAGCAACTGACTGGCAACAGCTCCACTATGTATGTATCAGGAAAAAAAATCAAACATTTTCCACATGGTCAACAGAACATTCAGTCGGCTGCAGTTTTATGTTTTCAGGCTTGATGTTTACTTTGCGATTATTAATAAGTGATGCCTGAATACAGCGGCGGCTAATTAGCCAATTAAACACGAGCGCTACTATGATCTGTCAGAGAGTTGGCGCTATTTATTTACTTTTGTTTAACTTCATTTAAATTCCCTTTGGATTCAATAAGGTAGTTTTGAATATTTGAAATAAACCGAAACACAATGAATTCTGCAGTGCAATTTGTGCCAAGTTAAACGCAGTAACTGCATTTAATTATGTTTTCAAATTTAGAGATATTTATTTATGCTCTTGTTGAACAAAGTAGAGAAAACGGTAAAAAAAATAATTTCCGATAATACTGTCCCTTTTGTTTTTTTTATTTGACATCATTAATTGAAACTGATCGAGACAACAATAAATCAACATTTCTAGTCATGATAATTTCTTTGCCCAGCCTAATGCTTTCATGAGCTTAATGAAGCAGGATTACCAGAGTCTGGGCTTCTTTCTCCTTCAGCTGCTCTTTGAAAAACTCCACCGCCTTCGCCTCCCATCCTGAACTCTGACTGCTCTGGGAAGCAGCTGCAAAACCAAAACACACAAATTTATCTAAAAAAACCATCCAGCTGCTATTTCTGCAATAAATGAGCCTCTCAGTAAATTAGAATATCATCAAAGAGTTAATATATAAAACTCAGGATATTAGATTAGATTAAGGCTGCAGCTAATGGTTATTTTAGAAAACAATCTATTGATTATTCTGAATATCGATTAATCTGATAAAAATATTGGCACATTCTGCATATTTTTCATTTAAACACTTAAATGAAAAATGTCTTAAAGTTGCATATAAATAATTCAGTTCCGTTTTTAAATACGAAAATAAACATTTTATTGCCTAGAATACAATACCACAGCATTCATTTAGTAAATCTGAACCGTGTGAAGCTAAAAGTGGCACTTGAGAAGTTTGGGTCAAAAACATTTTCACAGACAAAGGTTTTTACATTAAATGCAAATGTATGTTTTTTTGTGCAGTTTTGGCTTAAGAACTCCTCTGAATAGGTTTTTTAGTCTGTTTACTCAGCTAACAATCAATTATTGAAATAATTGGAAACTAATTTAGTAATCAATTAATCACAATTAGTCGTTTCAGTCCCACATAAGTTCAGAAAAAACTGATTTAAAACATAAATGTTGTGAAGATCGCTAACAGTAACAGACAGAAGGTCACTGCTAAAGAAGCTAGTGACTATCCAAGGATTTTAAATGGAAAGTTTAGTGAAAGGTAAAAGTAGAGCAACAGGAATGACTGCAGCTAAAATTATAATGTATACATATTACATCTGATACATATGCATCTGATCGTCCCAGCAGAATTTGTAATATTCTACATATTTACAGAAAAGATGCATATTATATTTTTTTTGTACAAGTTTGGTTTAATTACTGCTCTGACTGTTCTTTTTTCAGCAAATTTCTTATATTTGAGACTCAAGTTAATGATTGATTCCTAAATGAGCTGATTTAAATAATTGATTATAGTCGTTTCGGATCTATACATGTTGTTCAGTAAATTGACAATTAATGCCCATCTTCCAGTAGGCATTGATTTCTCTATTAAATGCCTTTTTAAAATTGCTGTATGCGATATTCTAATTTACAAAGTAGTGTGTTGTGAGTTTATATTTTTTTAAAAATTCATTAATAAAAGTAAATGCTTGAAATAGTTCATATTTGTGAACTAACTCAACTTCTGGATGGTATTCCAACTTAATTTGAATTTATCAACAACGAAGCAAGCATTTAAACGGGTTCGGCGGCATTTCCTGTAGTCCAGAAGGAGTGGTTCTGGCAGAAACTCGCAGTGAGTCGGTGTTTAAATTAAAGAGACTTAATGGAGAGATAAAAGCGCAGCAACATGTGATGTGCTCTGTTGGCATGGTGTGGACCGGGCTAGCCGCGGCTAGCTAGCAGCTTCCACGCGCTTCACAGAGAGAGAAGTTCCGCCCGGAGAGTCTTACCGAACATCCCCTCCACCACACCCAGAGGGTCGTTAATCCAGTCATGAGTGGAAGGCATGGCTCTGCTGACAAGGGAGGCAGGAGTGATAAAAATACACGCGAGGAAAACCTGTGTGAATCCTCAACTTTGTTGACTTTCCCCGTCACACAGGATTCTGGCAGAAACGAGGGCGGGAAATTTGCGTCACTTTCTAGTTGGTTTGATTTGAGTACCCGGAGGGACCGTAGGGCGGGGCTTGTCACAGCCGCCACGTCCCGTGTTAATTACCGTGCGTAACATGCGTAGAAATGATCCGTCAGCGCGAACGCCATATTGAGAGTGGCAAACATTTTGGAACAAAGAACATTACAAAGAAATATCTTCAACACAAAACAATAAGAAATATAAGCAGATTATATTAAACAAATACAATAAAAAAGAGGAATAACATATATATAAAGAATATATAACCATAAACATTGTCATTATTTATATTTCTCAACAGTCTTGCAATCTACAATCGATCTGCTACATACCTTTTCAGAACAACTTTTAATGTATGACAATTTTTCTGTTTTATTACTTTTTAAAATGTTTTACATTTTTAACATGCTATGCATTTGAATATTCTCCTTTTATAATTTTGTTTGGTGTTATTAGTGTTTGTAATTTTACGCGATTTCTGTAAAGTCACTGAGTGTTTACAAAAGCGCTACACAAATAAAACTGATTATTTTCGTTATTATTTGTATTAAATGTAAAATAAAGTAAAAAAAAAAAGTTAAATACATTTAGACATACATGGGTATATTAAAATAATGTGCATCTTTTATTTATTCTATGCAAACAATAAACAATAAACATAGAATAGTGCAGAAGTATATTATCCAAATATAGCAAAGTGTCTGTTACAATAACTAAAAGACAAATAAAAGTAAGCCTTATAGAAAAATATGTAAATTTCACCTGAAGAAAAAGTTGAATTGTCAAAGATGGGCAATATTGGCAATTTTAATAATACAAAAGTCTCTCCAATGTTTTCTGTAAAGAGAGACTCTGCATTGTCTTTATATGTTTTTAGTAGAAAAAATTATAATTGTAAATGTATATTTAAGATACAAAATTACATAAAATGTAGATATTTTGTACTTTTAAATGTTTGTGCTATTGTAAATGTTTGTTTTTGTACAGAAAAAAAGCTTTTAACTGATTAACATGGTGTTTTATTTTGTTGTTGTTTTGTTTTATTTTTGTATTTTTGTTTTATCTGTGAAGCCCTTTGTGAATTTTATCTGTGAAAGTAAAGAAATATTTACTTAAAATTGTAGGTGCCTTCCTGACCTGTAGGTGTCAGTAGTGAGAGGAAGTGAAACTAACAAGCGATACCGGTAACATTATAGCAGATCTGTAAATCATCTGCTTGGTTAGATGCTATATTGATCTGTTCAGATGGCGCCTTAAGGATCGGTGAACAGCTAAAAAAAAAACGAAAAAAAGCTCCCTATGGACAGCTGACCCCGTTCCGCCGGCGGCCTCCTCCGGTTCTTGCTACGTGTAATTCTGGGGGAAAAATGGCAGATAGAAAAAATAACAATGTTCCCAACAGCAGTGCCAATTTATTGTTCAGCGCCGCCCCGGAGTTTAACTTCAACCTGCCGTTCATGCCCGTGAGCCAGGCCACCGGGCCGGCGGTGCTGTCAGGAGGTGAGAGTTAGTGAGACTGTGCGAGGAAATGTTTAAACTGTGGACAGGTCGTTAGCATGCTAAGCTAGCCAGCCTAACATCCTGCTATCAGCTGTTATTGAGTGAAAGACACAGAAGCACAACAATAATAGTCGACAGATTTGCTAGAGTATCAGACGTGAACCTCTGCTGTAGCATTCTTGCTATTGGTGTTTATTACAATAAATGACAAATAAATTACTAGGTTAAAGTGCATAAACCTCACATTAATGTTTCTACAAACTCTTCTGGAGACAAAATATAGCAAATTTTGATAACGGAATAAAGGTTTTGCCTTTGTTAATACAAAAGGCAAATTTCCCCCTTCCTTTTAAATCAGTGAATAACTGTGATTGATCACATTTAGTTTTGGTTTGAATGGATTTGGTTCACCAGGTGGGATTAGTGTCCAATGTGTACAATAAATCGGTTTAATTCAGTCAAATAATAGATTATTTATCCCAAAGGGAAATTATGATGTCTCCTATCATTTAAGTGTCTTCAAAGAATTGTTTTGGGTGGTGATGCTGTAGTCAGGAAGAATCTCCAGTAGCAGTCAGTACTGCAACGAATGTGAACAGGCCTCTGACTGAAGACTGTTGCTCTATTACAGTCTCATGACGTACTAATGATTATTTTTGTAATTTATTATTTTATCAATTATTCTGACAATTAGTCTGTAAATCGCCACATTCTACAGATTTTCATTTAACTAAATAAGCCTTTTTTTTATACATTAGAAATACATTAAAAGATGCAAATAAACAAATCGGTTCAAATAAAAAAAGTAACTGCTTAAATGCAATAACAGCAATAGTTCAGTAAATCTGAACTTGGTGAAGCTAAAACTGTCGCTTGAGGAGCTTTGACTAAAGCATATTTACAAAGATCATTTTTTATCTTAAATGCGAAATGTACATATTTTTGTTCAGTGTTGGCTTATTTACTACTCTGAATATGTTGCTTTTTTGAGTCTATACACTCCAGCTAACGATTAATCAATTTCTAAATTAGTTGATACTAATCAATGCGATTAATCGTTTCAGCTCTGATGCTAACAGCTCAGTATCCACCAAAGAGCAAAGATGATATTCCACTGTAAAATGTCCTGGATGACACCATCAGTTGTTAGCAAGTACAGCTAATCCACTTAATTTTATTTTGCTGTACCTGTTTGTATCTCTGTATGGTTAGAAAACTGGGCAGAGAGATGTTGGAGTAGGGGATATGTTGACATATCAGGAGCAGGAGGTCCAGAAGATGTAAAGAAGAAAGAGATGACCTGTAGCTGCCGTTAAATTTATTATTTTGCGTCCTTTAGAAGAAGATTCCACTGATGTTGGAGAAGAAGACAGCTTCCTTGGTCAGACCTCTGGCGCTGCACCAGCATCCTCCTCCACCTTCAACTACTTCTCCAGTCCGGCCACAACCTCCGACCCGTTCGCATCCATCGGCCAGTTGCCATGCCCCCCATCCGCCATGTCCGCAGCAGCTGGACCCATTTCTGTTCCCCACAGCATCAGCATGGCTCCAACTCCGCCGCCACCTTCTGTAGGCTCGCAGATCAACTCGCCACCTCAGGTGTTCGGTGGCGCCGTTTACCAAAGCCCAGTGGGGCGCCACACTCCTCCCCCGACCGCCATGACGCCGCCGCCCCCCCTGATGCAACCGCAGGCTCACAACCCGTACCGCCACACCCCCAGCAGCAGCCGAGCCAGCCCCTACATTCCAGCGCCGGAGATCCTCCCGCCAACACACATGCCGCCGCAGATCCCCTACTCTGTCAGCGCGCCGCCGCAGATGTTTCCCCCCCCAGGGCCGACGTTTACAACAGTAGGTGCCAAAAAATTTCTATTAGATGTTTCCAATAGAATTTTTTTTATTTTTTTTCCTTTTTAAAAAAAAATTACAAATAAGGACGTGTTTTTTTAAATCAGATAAAAAAATCAGCACATTTTGCTGATTCATAATTTAAACTGTTTTTATACAATATCAGAACAAAGTTGCCTAAAAAGAGATTTTTTTTTTTAACAGCATTTGAACCAAATGAAGCTAAAGCTGCCACTTGAGGAGTTTTGGCTAAAACATATTTACAGACGTTTTAAAAATTTATTTTAAATGCAAAATATTCATATTTTTTGCAGCTTTGGCTTGATTACTTTCATGACTGTTTTTCTTTGAGCAAGTGACATTTTTGAGTCTGTAAACTCCAGTTAACGATAAATCGATTACCAAATTAGTTGACGATTATTTCAATAATCGGTTAATCACAATTAATCCGATTAATCGTTTCAGACCTGCACCTCATAAAAACACTCCGAAGTTAAATCAGATTAAACTTTTCTTGTTTTAGGTTAGTTGGAATCACCAAAATTATTTATATTTGTTAAATGAGAAAAAATTTAGCAAGAACATTATTTAGAGATTATTATTTAGCAGTCATTGTATGTTTTGTTTAAATAATTTACCTTAACACAATTTGTTTGGGTTGTTTTAATGTAATGAATATGTATAGTTCCTATGAAGTTTATCTTATATTAGTTTTTTTGTTAAATTATTGTTTTATGTTTGCAAAACATTTCAAAACATAATATTTTGTTATATTTTTAGCTTAACTTGTTCCTGCTGTAAAATGTAGAAAACCGTCACAAAGCATTAATAATAACTGTAATAATTTATATAATTGAGACCGTCTTTCATTTTACTGAAAAAGTTTGAAAACTTGCCTTGAAAATCCTTGAAAAGTGCTTGAATTTTTGTACGAACCCTGATCTGAATAAATCTTTTTTGTTCTTCAGCCTCCTCCCTCACATCTTCAGGCGGCTCCTCCTCCTCCGCCCACTGCCACCGCTGGCGCCGTCGTCCCTGCAGGTCCGATGATGCCGTACAACTACAACGTCTACGAACCGGTCCAGCCGCACTGGTTCTACTGCAAGCAAGTCGAGTCGAAGAGCGTCTGGTTTCCTTTGAGCATCATCGACTCGCTGCAGCTCGAGGAGACGTTCAACTCAGGTACGGAAAGGCAAAGACAGTCAATGAATATTTCACACACAGTCTGAAGGCCTTTGGTTCCTCCAGTCCAACCGGACCCAGAGAACGTGATCGTCCGGACGGACGGCGGGCGCTACGACGTGCAGCTTTATGACCGCATGCGCAGCGCCGTGTACTGGGAGGAGGAGCCCACAGAGGTCCGGCGCTGCACCTGGTTCTACAAAGGCGACAAGGACAGCCGCTTCGTCCCGTACTCTGAGGAGTTCAGCGAGAAACTGGAGGTTCGTAAAGAGGCGCCACCACCTGGTGGGTCACCAGAATGCATCCGAAAATGATTCAGAAAGCAACAACTGGCTCCAATTTGTTGATGGTTTTCAGTTCAACTCAAAAATACTTAATTGGTCCCAAAGGGAAATGAAATAATAATTTCAGTAATTCACATAGTTTTAAATATTAAGTAACTATTAGTGTTCTCTGGTTTTTCTGCTTATAAATTAAACAACTAAAAACAAATTATCAGTTTTTTTTATTTTGTTTTTTGGTAGAAAAAGAGTAATTACAAAAAACAGAATTAAGTTTTTTTTTCTTTTAGAGCTGCAGTAGCTAACTTTTATGATTTTTTTTCCACATAGTTGTTGGTAAAAAAAAAACAGATATGTGAAAATACTTTTTTTATATTGTGACTTGTATGATCAACAACAGGATGTTACTTCTGCCAGAAACCATGAAGAAGAAATCGCAGGAAGTAGTTGACGGATCTGTATGTTTTTCGATGAACAAAGTAGAAAACGTGAACGAATCTGTCCATGCATGATTTTAATTGCATTTCTTATTTAATGGTAAAACTGCAATTGCAAAAGTTTGTAAAAAAAAAAAAAAAGTTTTGTTTACATTTGTAGTGTGTATCACCGATAACCGATGCAGAATTCTTTTCAATATCAGGATCAATGCAGATATTGATGTCGCATTGCCTCATTTCTAACCACAAACATAAGTAATCAGTCCTCAGACTGTGACTTCATGAGTAAATGTTTCACCTTCAGGCAGAATATAAAAAGGCCGTATCAACAAACCAGTGGCATCGCAGGCTAGAGTTTCCATCCGGAGAAACGATCGTCATGCACAACCCAAAGGTGAGTCCAAACCGTCCTCAGGAACAGATTACCAGACAAACCCGGTTTGGACGTCCTGTTTGCTCCCGCAGGTCATAGTTCAGTTCCAGCCTTCGTCCAACCCAGACGAGTGGGGCACCACTCAGGACGGGCAGACCAGGCCCAGGGTGGTGAAGAGAGGCGTTGATGACGACCACGATGAGGTGCCTGATGGTACGCCGCCTCGCTGCGAATCACAACAGTGGAACCAACACCAGTTCAGCTGAAAATGATTTGTTCTGCTTCAGGCGAGCTTCCCACGGTGGATCATCTGGTGTTCATGGTCCACGGCATCGGCCCGGTTTGCGACCTGAGGTTCAGGAGCATGATCGAGTGCGGTGAGCGGCGTCTCCCCCAGTGATCCTATCTGTGGAAACTTTAACTTAAATGCAGCGTCGTCTGCTTCCAGTGGACGACTTCCGGAGCGTTTCGCTGAAGCTGCTGCACAGCCACTTCAAGAAGTCGCTGGACGAACACGCCATCAGCCGGGTGGAGTTCCTTCCTGTGCAGTGGCACACGGCTCTCCACGGAGACGCCACCGGGGTGGACAGGTGGCTGCGACACGCATCCGGCCCAAACCATTAACCACATAACTGAAACACTCATTGATTAATCGTTGACTTTAGAATCAAAAAGGATAATTTAACAAAAAAACAACATATTCAGAGCAGAAATTAAACCACAACTGTACAAAAAATAAGTTCATTTTGTATTTAAGATAAAAATTTATTTGTCTGTAAATACGTTTCAACCAAAACTGCTCAAGTGGCAGATTTAGCTGCATTTTAGGCGACAAAATGTTTATTTTATTATTTTAAAAAATTTAATTCATTATTTGCATTTTTTAATGTATTTCTAATCTATAAGAAAGGCTTAAGTTTAGGACTGACTTTGATTAGTCACAATTAATCAGTTATTGAAATAATCGTCAACTAATTTAGTAATTAATTGCTAACAAGAAGCTGCAATGGATGCACTTCTACTGAGATTTTCTTGGTTATTTTTTGATTTTCTTGGTTCATGAATATAAATGATTGCAGCTCAGTGAGTTAATCTTTTAAACGTTTCATCCTGCTTCATGTTGTTGGATTTAAAATGTCTGGTTTTGAGAAACATTTCATTTTCACTACTGAAGTGAAACTGAAATAATGTGATTAATCACAGTTTAAATGTGATTAAGCGAGTTTAATTACTTTTCAATAAAAGGTAAAGTAGGTGTTTTGTCTCAATAAATTAATTTATTCTGATTTTTTTCAGGAGGATTAAAAAGATCACCCTGCCCAGCACTGGACGGTTGCGCCACTTCACCAACGAGACGCTGCTGGATGTGCTTTTCTACAACAGTCCAACTTACTGCCAGACCATCATGGACACCGTGGCTCAGGAGATCAACCGTCTCTACGCCTTGTTCCTGAAGAGGAACCCCAACTACAGGGGGGGAATATCGGTGGCCGGACACAGCCTGGGTAAAACCAAACCCTGGCTTTTATTTTTAAACGGCAGATTCACGTTTCCGGTTTTAATGGTTGCTGTCGTCTCTGCAGGATCCCTGATTCTCTTCGATCTGCTTTCCAACCAGAAAACCGTCTCTGCTGCGCCGCTGCTGCCAGCCGCGCCCGCCGTTAACGGAGAGGTAGAGCGCAAACGCACCAGGAAACGCTGAAATGTGTGGAACTGTGTGGAAACGCTGCGTCTCGTTTCAGGTGTCGGCTCCCGCTGCGGAGGAGCCGAGCAGAGAGGAAGAGGAGGATCAGGAAGAGTTTGAGGATCTGGCTGCTGTGCTGAAACATCTGGGCCTCTCTGAGTACAAGAGCACCTTGGACCAGGAGAAGATGGACATCGAGTCTTTAGTAAGATTATAAAAATCTCCTTCATTTTATATGGATTTGCTGAAAGTTGAAGAAGACAAAAAGCTTGAATGTGTTTTTCCAGCTCATGTGTACGATGGAGGACCTGAAGGACATGGGGATCCCTCTGGGCCCGCGCAAAAAAATCACCAAGTTTGTGAAAGAACGAGTCAGCAGACAGGTGGGCTTCTTCAAGTGTTCAGCAAAAAAACAAAACAAAATGT